CCACCCCAAAAAATTTGCAGAAAATTTCCAAACACAATTCAAATGTTTTGAAAGCTCCCATGGAAAAGAAACACTTTATTTTACTTACTTACCTTAAAAGCAACTTGTGAGGATGAGTTAATGTCTGTAAAGCACATTGAAAATGAAAATCATTATTCATCATTGCTAGAAGGCCTGCTTCTAGCAATGGTGCTATATCACAGGTATTCAACATAGTGTGGAAATATGGATAATTTGGAGGCATTCTGGGTAATTGGGGGGGGGTTACTGTACTGTTGATATGGGGAAAAAATCAAATTCCTATATTCTCTAGAAGCTAGTGCAGATGAAACAGTATCTATGGCCACCATCACTGTAGTACCTCACAGTCTTTAATGTGTTTATCCAGAGAGAATCCCCATGAAGTAGGGTAGTATTATCCCCATTTCATAGATGAGAAGTTGAGGCACAGGGGCTGAACCTAGGTCTCTAAGAACCCAGGCTAGACCCTAACCACTGGACTACCCTCCCCTATGGCGAGATGGTTTACTATATTTATCACTCTCTCACACACTCCTGTAATAAATTAGTATATTTGGCCTTTGGGGTGTTGGGTGGAAGTATCCCAGTCTTGCCTCCTCTTTTTCAGGAGGGATTGTATCCTATAGTTGCAGGGGGGCAGACTCAATGAAGTAATGGTTATTTCCCCACATCTATATTCCGATGACTAGTCCAGATTATGACTGACAACAGTGAATGACAAAACCACCATGGCACAATAATGGAGCCAATCAATCCATCTAAAGTCAAGATTGCTGTATGACTGAGGACAGCCCACAAGGTAAGTATCTCAAAACACACAGCAAGCAATGTTCTGTTCACAGTATTAACATAAAAGGCTGGGGCTGGCACATTTAACTCAAGTACGCTGTCTGGTTTGCAGGCTCAACCGTAAGTTTCAACAAGCTACTCCCCTTGGGGTATTCCATTTACATCATCTTCTCTCCCACGGGAAGAGCTCAACAACAACAACAAAATCTGTTTAACAGCCCTGGAAATTAAATGCTTGTCACTCACCTTCTTGCAATAGCATTCTCATGCCATGGTCCCTAGTGCCCTCATTCAGGAAGGATCTGCTATTGGCAAACAAATAATAGCTGAAGTATTTTTTAAGTGTCAGCACTTTTAACGATGGTAACACGAATGTCGTATAGTCACACAAGAGGTGGTAGGCAAGGTAATTGTAGAGTAGCAGGGTGATTAAAGCACTGTACCAGGAACCACACTATCTAAGTTCTATTCCTGGCTCTGCTACAAACAATCTATTGGCCCTTGAGCAAGTCTCTTAACCTCTGTGCCTTGGTTTCCCCATCCCTAAAATAGGATCAATAATGCAACATCTTGCAACCTCACAAGGACTCGTTTGTTCATTCCTATTTATAAAGTTATTTGAGCTGCTGGGAAGAAAGCGCTATATTGATGCAAAGTATTACTACTGTGAATATCCACCATGCTTTGGGTGTGTTATAAGAGGCACAACACTAAAATATCACATTGTCATTTAGAAAAACTGGTTGGTAAAAAAAAATTTTTTTAAAGTGGCAAATTTTTTTGTCCCTTTTAAAAAGAAATCATTCACCTTTTTCAGAAATTCTCACCAGCTGGCCAAAAACATGGAAAAATACAAAAAAAAAGGTTGGTTTCTTTTTCAGGTGTAGCTAACCTTACTGGTTTGCCATGCCACTGCCCTCACAGTATGAGGTCCCTTCTATAGCTTTCCTTCTCTGTCCTGCCTATGAAAAGTATGTATATCTGTCTATGGTATTTATACAGTCCCCCCCCCCCCATTACCATAGAACACCTTACAATCTTCAATGCATTTATCCTTACAAGATCTCCGTGCGGTAGGACAGTGCTATTATCCTCATTTTACAGCCAGGGACCTGAGGCACAGAGAGACTAAGTGACTTGCCCGAGGGTGACACGGGATTTGTGGCAGAGCAGGAATTAAATCGAGTCTCCCACAGTACAGGTTAGTGCTCTAACCACTGGATCACCCTTCCTGTGGGAGGAGAGGAAAGGGGAGAAGCAGGTAACAAAATAACCATAACAATTTTAAACCTCACCATCAAGCTGCTTATACGCACATCGTGAGTGTAGCACAGGAATGACCGAATGAGCACCCACACAGAGATTTGCTTCCAGTCTGCTCCCTGTCCAGTCTTGATAGGGACAGCCAGTTTCGGACTCAGGGATCAGTTACAAGAGTGCAGCATAACCTTGTCAATTCCTTTTACAGATGGCTACTCTGCAGCGCCTCACCATGTGATAGCATTGTCACCCTTATCTTTTCTCACCCTGTTTGTTCAGAGCTGCACTTGTCATGTTGAATTTAGATAGTGAATTCCAGGGCAGGGACTGTGTCATTTACTTGAGTATTAGTATATATTTAACAGTAATAGGATGGAACATTTGGCCAATCAGCTTGCTGCTAACAGAACGTTCATTGTCCAATAATGGGCAGCAATTACATTTACATGGGGGTTTAAGGGCCCGATCCAAAGCCCACTGAAGTCAATGGGAGTGTTTCCATTGTCTTCAATGGGTTTTGGATCAGGCCCTTAGGAATTAAAATCAGTTCAGGGTATTTCGTTCATATGCCCAATAGAGGGCAAGAACAGAACACTGTAGATAAAAGACAGTTACAAATGTTGATGGTCCCTAAAGGCAATCCAGTAAATGAATTCCTCTCCAGCTGTAGACCCTTAAAGATTGGCCATCACCCCAATTCAAATTACCAGATACCTTCAAACTCTAACTATGTATTTGTCCCAGTCTATAGAGCCCATGCGTATGGAAACAACGGTTCTTGGAAGACGTAAGACTCCTGACATCACTTCTTTCAGAAATATGTTCAATTGCCTGCACAGAGACTAAAAGCAAAACATAACAAAACCACACCCAGGTAATAGAAGGTCAGGGAAGTTTGTAGGTGGGGATATTTTACAGAGCTGCAGAATTATTTCAGTTCTTCAATCTAGAAGGAGGAAGGAAGAAACTTCTGCTGGGTAAAGGTACAGGCCCTGCTGATAGTCAGGCGAGCCACATTCTAGTCTCACCTCTGCCATAGACTTCCCAGTGTGACCCTGAGCAAGTCATAATCTCTTTGTACCTCAGTTTCCCGCACATATTTACTTACCTTGCTGAGAGTGTTATGTTGCTAGGGCTTCATTCGTTATCACCTGAGAAGGGTTTTGTGGCCTTCAGATGGTGCTGAAGGAGGGAAAGGAGTAATACAATCCAGATCATCAACTGGTATAAATTGGTGTCGCTCCATTAACTTCAGTGGGAGCTATGCCCGTTTACACCCACTGAGTATCTGATCTCATTCTTTTTAGAGCAACATTTTGAAATCCAGGACTGGCATGTGGACCCACACACATGCACACACGGAGAAAGGCAATGCAGCGTAACCTGTTTTTCAGTAGCTGCATTAAATAGATAAAAGATGGATTAGCTCAAATATGCATGGCAAAGATACATGCCCAAGCAACCCCAGGGCACAGAAGTTACTGAACAGGACATGAATTTGTGTACCTCTCCGTAGGGTAAATACTACCATATGTGCATTAAAAGAATCCTATTATTTATAGAGTGCTGACGTGAAACCCCCTGTAAGGGTTAGTATTTTGTTAGGTAAACGTTTTTCACTCTGCGCATTCCCCCCCCCTTCTCTCTCCCCACCCTCCCCAACAATAACTTACAGATGTTAGAACAATAAATTGAATGAATAGTTTCCCACACTGGAATGCTTGCATGCAGAAGAACGCAGAAATGATTTCTGGCCAGTTTCTGACACTGATCTACAACTGTGCTGCATATATTGTGTTGCTCTTGTAGCGAGCCTTGAGCTGCTCCCTGCCAAGAATTAAGTGCTTGTTCCATAAACCTGGTGTAGATTATCACTTAGCTGTATAGAGGTATCTAATAGAATTAAATAGTTTGGCTCCTGACCAGTAACAGATGTGCGACATATAATGCAATAATAATGAGACTGAAAGCGCCGTGTTATGCCAAGGGAACATTGTGAGATAGCTCAAATTTCTTCCATTGCCCTGTCAAAGCTTTGTGGAAAGTAAAGTTGAAGTCCCGTGTTTATTGGAACAAAACAAGCTTTAACATTTTTTTATTTTCATCATAGAATGGATGTGTTCTCTAGCCCCATGTACTTAGGGGAACACAGGGTCGTTTTTTATTTCTGCGGAGCAGTGGATCTGCTTTACTCTATCCTTTCCTTTTTTTTTTTTTTTACTAAAACTCTTCTCTAACTTAAATTCTTCTAAAGAGATTATGTTGAACCAAATCATAACTGGCTGCTGAGGACACACAAGCCTATGTAACGCGAGCTGCTGAGGTCGGAGCAGGCTGCGTAGGAAGAGGAAGAGCTCTGTTGTACCCAATTTAAACCAGCCTGATGACTTTGATAGTTTCTAAAACAAGACAAAAGATGTGGAACTTAGGGTTAAGTCCGGCAAGGAGCTGGGTATTTCCTGTGAGGTGCTAAGCACCCTTGAATCCGACTGAGAATTTTTATGGGAGTTGGGGGTTCTCAGGCCCTTAGTTTATTATGTTTAGTGAGATGGAAAATTCTCTCAGCAAAAATGGCACCCATGTTGGGAGTCTCATAAGAGAAACTCCATGAGCATGGAGCCACAATTACTTTTGCCTTCCTTCAGGGGTCCCACCAGGCCAGGCCAAGGCACCCTGAGAGGAGTTGGTGGTGGTAGCTTCTATTGCCACTGCCCTTACTGATCTTATCTGTGGACTTCACTCTCGAGGGTTGTCTAATTGTCACCATCCCTTTGCACTAAAATTCCACTTTGCTGCAGCACTGGCTCGGGGGAAGACGGGGAGGAAGGAGCAATGAGCCAACCTGACCAACCAAAGACAGTTGGCAAATACATGACACCTCTGCAAAGCGCAGAGGAGCTGTTCCACTACCACTCAAACAGCCACCGTTGGCTGCTGACACACTGGCCAGCTATCATCTTGTCTCTATCCTTCCACCCTTGGGTAAGGTTAGAGAGAAAGTTTTGGAGAGAAGATAATTCCCTGGATATCTGGCTGCCTCAATCTTTTCCTGTGTCAGTCTGGTTATGGCACACAGACTGCACTGCACAGGCCGTTCTGGCGATGGATGGAAATCAGGGTTCTGCAAGGATCTTGTTAGGCCTATGAGCAGACAGGCCAAACCCACGAAAAAATGCAGAAATTGGGCTTGTTTTTGGCTTAATTGGCTTGTGAGTAGCTTGTTGGCTAGTTTTTGGCTTGTAGCTTGTAGCTTCTTTTTTTGGATTGGCTTCCAGCAAGCAGGGGCAAGGGGAGAGAGAGTCAGGGGTGCACAGCAGGCCCACCACAGTCCCAGACTGCATGCCATGGAGATCTAGTCACATAGAGTGTTGGGGTTCTTAGGGATTGGCTTGTTTTGGCCTCGTTTTGAAATGGGATTAGCTTGATTTTTGGTTGATTGTGAAAGTCGGGGTGCTTAGTTACCACATGAAAGTTTGCACCTGTGAGCTGCCTTTGATGCCATTAGCTATTGCTGAGATGCCAATGAGCCCTAGCGAGAATAGTTACTTCCCTCCACTAGTTTTGCCCTCATCTTTCAGAGAGATCACAGAGGATTGTTTTGCAGAATTTACAGACTGTCAGGGTAGGATGCAAGACCCATCTCTTTTCCCAGTAAAATGGTGACCTACATACAACGATTGTGGTGTTTAATTGATGATTTTTGTAATGCACATGGATAGAAAGAGCTATTACCAATATTGTTACAGTGGAGTGGGCAACTACCTGTCAAAAATTCGGACTATTCAACCAAATAGAAAACTGAATGACTATGCTTGTGTAACTGACATTAAATAATTTTTGTACTTCATGGTCCAAGAGACACAGACCAGGTTTTCATCTCAGGGCCAAAAGACCAAAAACATCAAGACACTTGATCACGGCCTTGGATAGCCTGAGAGACTACTTACACATGATCTGAGCTCTAAGGAGCTGAGAAGCAATACTAAGGTAGGTCTTTGTCCACCTCTAGTGGCTGAACCATTAGGAAGTTTGTGACTCTGATGCTGCCTCTAATATAATAGTGTTGTCCTTTAGCCAAAGCAGTAGCAGTTCATCCTGATCAATCCCCAGATCTTTGGTTCAGCGCCTGCAGATAACCCAGCCAGAAAGCAATCTCCCTTTGTAACTCTTGTTTATGTTTGCTTTCTTCTTATGTATTAGCAAGTGATTTTCCTGGCCAAAATATTAGTGGAACCAGAGCATTTTAAGCAAATATTGGAAAAAGTAATTTTGAACCTGATCATCCAAAATCGGATACCAAGAGTTATGCCTATCCAATCAGGAAATAGAAACAATGCCATGTGACCTGACTATACATCTAATGAAAACTAAACACACAGCGTGAATTTCCATTATCAAACAGCTGTTCATGCACAAGCCGCAGCCCAAGAATTATTACTTGAGAAATAATTTTTCACTAATAAATACAATCAAAAGCTGCTTGCGGACAAATCTGACGCAGAAGAGGAGACTAAATTCAGGCAAATCAATTATTCGCCTGGCTCTATTACAAATGAAAGAAAAGGATATAAAATAGCCATCTGGGAAGCCAGGGAAAGCTCAAGACAAGTGTCCTCCTTGCTCTAAATCATCTCGGCAGTAAAACTCAGGAGAAAGTGGCAATTGATTAACTCTAATTGGAGGTTACATTAAATGATAATTAAGAATAATCAATGGCAGTGTTGGTATGCCAGCACCTCCCTCCTGGAGGCAATCCCCCTCAATCCCCAGTACACCAATAAGACAGGTGATCTATGAGCCCTACATGTGCTCCGCCATCAATAAAGAAACAATTCCCAGCAGCACTAACCCAGGGCTTTGGCGGAAAGAGAGCATTTCAATGAAAGACAGACTCACCGTCATGAGAGATGGCTGCTATACTACTCCCTACATCAAAGACTAGGATGCCCTCAAATGATGAAGGCTGGTAGCGACTGCTCAATGCCCACCTGCTTTCAAGCAACGGAGCACAAGGCGCCCTGCCTCAGCACATTATTCTGCTTTTGTTCAGAACATTAGGGTGTTATCTACATTACTGTGTGGGCAGCATGCAAGGAATCACCACAATCTGCACAGACCCTTCTAAGTCATCTCTTTGAGAAAGGGCAATTCAGCAGGAGCAGGGAATGGTGGGTGGAGGGTCAGAGATGGAGGGGGAATGAATTTGTAGTTCTGATCCATACAGTCCA